TGCTGCTGCTGCTGCTGACCCGGGCCGCCAGGCTGCGGGCCCATGGGCAGCCCAGGCTGGGTGGGCGTCTGAGGCGTGGGGGGCTGGGTGCCCCCCGCTCCGGTGGGCGTGCCGGGGGCCGTGCCGTTGCTGCCGGGAGACGGGAGCCCCCCGCCCCCTCCGGCGGCCTGCATGGGGGGCTGGCGCTGCATGCTGGCCACCCTCCGCCGCAGCATCTGCGCCTGCTGGAGGCGGTGCTGCAGCTGCTGCTGGCGCAGCTTGTGCTTGATGTTGAGGCAGAAGGGCACGGGGCACTTGTTCTCCTGGCAGTGCTTGGCGTGGTAGCAGCACAGCGCGATCAGCTGCTTGCAGATGGGGCAGCCGCCGTTGGTCTTGCGCTTGCAGCCCTTGGTGTGCTGCACCACTCGCTTCATCTTCTGGCAGGACGGCAGCGAGCAGTTGGCGTTGCGGCACTGGCAGGCGTGCACCAGCGACTGGATGCAGCGCTGGATGCTGAGGCGCCGCGAGTCGCCGGGGCTCTGCGTGGAGGCCGCCGCCTGGCTGTTGCTCTCGTCGTCCAGCCCCAGGCCCAGCTTCTCCATCTTGTGCTCGTGGCCCTTGGTGTTGTAGCAGGTGATGCACAGGTCGTAGTCCTGCGGGGGGCGACAGAGAGAGAGAGAGAGAGGGGGTGAGGGGGGACGGAGGGCTGGTGAGTCACGGCCACAGCTGGAACCACTAAAAGCCCCCCTCGGACCTTGAGGAGCTGAGGAAACGGGGTGGGGGAAGGGGGGAGGCGATAGATCCCGGCCTCTGGAAGCAGCTGGAAACTCTCGCTCCCTGGCTCGGCTCCCGAGATCCGAGGGCCGGCCCCGATCCCCCACTATTTCCAACCTGGGATCCGTACTGCGGAACGCCCTCCGGCCTGGGGAGGAGGCCGGAGCCTGTCCGTGCGCTACCCGGTCCGACCGACCGACCTGGCGATGCTGAAGAGGAGAGGAGGGGTCGCCGAAGCCCGGTTGGGGGTCTCCCGCCCGCTCAGCTCCTCACGACCCCTAACCTGCACGTTAACCGGCTCCCCTGGGCCACCCCGGCCTCTTCAAGAGACCCCCCACCCTCCTCGCCCCGGTCTGGAACCCGGAGCCCCCGCCTCACCTCGCAGACGGTGCAGTGGAAGCGCGTCTCCACGTGGTGCTTGCACTCGTTGCAGGTGTACACGAAGCGGTCCTGGCTCTGGTTGTGCAGCTCCACCAGCATGCACATGGAGCTCCAGTTGGCGCGGCGCAGCGAGGAGAACTCCAGGTGCTTGTCCCGGGCCAGCGTCAGGAAGGCGTCCCGCCCGTCCATCAGGTCGCAGGCCATCAGGGGGTCGGGGTCCGCGATGGGGGGCAGGGAGTTCGCCGTCGGGCCCGCGATCAGCCGGATCACGAAAAACACCTGGGGGTGGGGGTTACAGGTTACAGGGGTCTGCAAAAACGCACTGTGCACGCGGGTTAGCGGATCATCATGGAGCGTGCGAGCAGCAGTCATGTCGTGTGTGTGTGTGTAAGCGTGTGTGTGTGTCCCCCTCTGTGTCTGCCTAGCGTGACGCCGCTCAGAGTTAAGGGGGCGCCTGCCCGGCCGTGGGACCCCACGTACCTCCTTGTGCTTCTCCATGGTGGCGTACAGCTTCTGCGACAGGTCGTTGGACACGTTGGGCATGCCCGGCTTCTTCTTGTTGGCGCGGCTCAGGCTGCTCTTGTTCTTGCTGGTCTTCTTGTTGTTCTTCTTCTTGGCGTTCTTGCTGTCTCCCTTGG